GCCTTGCCTGCCGGAGGTGCTCACCGATGGGAATTTGTCCAAATTCTCACGACGTTTCGGCCGCAACACCAGAAGCAATCACCATCAGGTGTGAAAACCACAGAAGAAAATTTGAAAAAAGTGGCGGTTTTTTTAACGTTAAAAAAGTGGCGATTTTTTTTAACGTTAACTGTCAAAATCGCTCTCCGTGGTGCTAACGTAAAAAAAACCCGCCACTTTTTTTCAAATTTTATTGCTGTGGGTTTCACACCTGATGATGATTGCTTGTGTTGCAGTCAAAACGTCGTGAGAATTGTATTGTTTTATATTTGTATTATTTTATTGTTTCCCTTCTACGTGACTTTACCGAAAGAACCAAGAATACAATGCATACTATTAGTCTCATATTCTTGGTTATTTCGGTAAATAAAAAACATACAAATAAATTGAAAATAATGAAAGTATTTTCAATTCATTATTTTTATTTAAAATATTTTTTAAATATTAATTTTATTATTATTTATATCTACGTGACTTTACCGACAGAACCAAGAATATCATCTCCTGCAGTCACGAAAGTTTCAAGTCAAAATCTATTCGTTTCAGTATTATTATTATCAGAGCAAGTTCGTGTGCATTTTAAAGTTCGCCTCCGTAGCGTTTGTTCTGTGGTCTAACACGGGCACGGAGACGAGGCCATACAGAAGCCTCTCGTTCTGCTGTAGGCCAACTCAGTTTAAAATACACAATGCAAAACATTAGTAACCATTATTATCGGAACACGTGTGTGTGTGTTTTGCATGTTTCACCACGATGCATGATGCCGTGTCAATTTTAGATATTACGTTTTTTTTTTTTACATCATAGCAAATAATTATTTGGTTCTTTCGGTAAAGTCACGTGGGTAGAAATGAAATAATATATCACGACGTTTCGACCGCAACACAAGCAATCGCCATCACGTGGTGACAATCACGGCAAGGAACAACTGCCGAAGTAGTAGAAGCAGGCTTAGTTCTTGCCGTGATTGTCCCACCTGATGGCGATTGCTTGTGTTGCGGTCGAAACGTCGCGGTCTATTATTTCATTTTTACCCACGTCACGTAGATAGGTTCAAGGAAAATAACAAACAAAAAAACTACGAATACACTACGTAGATAGGTTCAAGGAGTAGGTTCAAGGAAAATAGCAAAAAAACTACGAAAAAACTACGACGTTTCGATCGCAACACAAGCCATCGCCATACTCCTGATCGTAACACAAGCCATCGCCATCCTACTGATCGCGACACAAGCCATCACCATACTCCTGATTGCAACACAAGCCATCACCATACTCCTGATTACAACACAAGCCATCACCATACTCCTGATTACAACACAAGCCATCACCATACTCCTGATTACAACACAAGCCATCACCATACTCCTGATTACAACACAATCCATCACCATACTCCTGATTACAACACAAGCCATCACCATACTCCTGATTGCAACACAAGCCATCACCATACTCCTGATTACAACACAAGCCATCGCCATACTCCTGATTACAACACAAGCCATCGCCATACTCCTGATTGCAACACAAGCGATCGCCATCCTCCTGATCGCGACACAAGCGATCACCACCCTCCTGATCGTGACACAAGCGATCGCCATCCTCCTGATGACGATCTCTTGCCTTGCACTCGATAGGTATTTTTTACACGCTTTTTATTAACTCACTCTGTCTGTTGTTGTTGTATCCTCAAATCTTGTAACTCAATTTTAACCCACTTCCCAATGTGGTATCGACTGCAAACTTGGTATACTTGTGTCATACCGATGACAATACCAGGTTATATCATTAAAAATAAAATGAAAAAATATATTTTTTTACATTATTTTGTATATAGTATGTTTCGGCTTGGGTGTAATTGTCCACGCTCAACTGACGTTGGCTGCAATTGTCCATGTTCCCTTACGTCATGGCAAGCTTCGGGGCCACTTCCTGGAGTTGTGGAGTTCTTCCATTACTTGTACGGTACATTTCATTAAAGCGTGCTTTTAAAAAGTAAAAAAAAATACTTATTTTGTTATTTTCCTTCAAACCTATCTACGTGACTTTACAGAAAGACCCAAAGAAAATGATGAATTCCTGCAATCACGAAAGCTTCAATTCAAAATCTTAACTAAGGTCTTGTATTCTTGCCGGCGAAGGAAACGTTTGTTGTTGTTGTTGTTCAGAATTAGATGTTGTAAACAAAATTAAAGATCTAAGATGAACCACTGGAATGTTGACCATGTACAGCGCGAGAAGTTAAACCGGCCCGCGACGCGATGCCAAATGGGGGTAGGGATACAACTCGTGTTTTCCAGCGCAGGGGCTATTCGTAAGACGTTCAACATACATACACTATACAATACACTATACACTACACTATACATTACTATACACTACACTATACACTACTATACACTACACTATACACTAATATACACTATACACTGCACCATACACTACACTATACACTACTATACACTACACTATACACTACTATACACTACACTATACACTACTATACACTACACTATACACTGCTATACACTACACTATACACTACACTATACACTACTATACACTACACTATACACTATACACTACACTATACACTACACTATACATTACTATACACTACACAATACACTACACTATACACTAATATACACTATACACTGCACCATACACTACACTATACACTACTATACACTACACTATACACTACTATACACTACACTATACACTACTATACCCTACACTATACACTAATATACACTATACACTGCACCATACACTACACTATACACTACTATACACTGCACTATACACTACTATACACTACACTATACACTACTATACACTACACTATACACTACTATACACTAGTATACACTACACTACTATACACTACACTATACACTACACTATACGCTACTATACACGTCACTATACACTACACTATACACGACTACACACTACACTGTACACTGCTTTACACTACACTATACACTACACTATACACTACACTAAACACTACTATACACTACACTACTATACATTACACTATACACTATACTATACGCTACACTATACACTGCACTATATACTGCTCTACACTACACTATACACGACTTACACGTCACTATACACTACACTATACACTACACTATACACTACACTATATACTACACTATACACTACACTACTATACACTACACTATACACTACACTACTATACACTACGCTATACACTACACTATACACTACACTATACACTACACTATTCACTACACTACTATACACTGCACTGCTATACGCTACACTATATACTACACCACTATAGTACATTTAAAACACATTTCTTCAGAACTGATTGTTGTTGTTGTTGTTGTTGTTATTGTATCTAGTTTGTTTACTTTCCCCCGCACCTACGATTAGCCACGGTTGACCACGTACGGTGTGAAAGAAGTTCAACACACAGTTACACGCACGGATATGGTATTGATTTAGTGTGTGTGTGTGTGTGGAAGTGGTGGAGAGCAGACCTCGAGACGATGAACGGAAGACCCCTTGGGAGGGGACTCCAAATTAAATTAGAGAGGGAGAGGCAAGGACGTTACGCTTGGGTTGGAGATGTCAATTACCTCTCCCGGTGTACAGGAGGTCGTGGTGCATCGATCCCGACCCCTTGACGTCTGCTGCAAGGGGCTCGTAAAATTGAGATCCGTTTAAGCCGGGGATTTGCCAAAACTCATATCGATGTATGTATTACCACCTAATGATAGGTCGACTAAGTGGATGATTTCGTCGTCGGCATCGCGTGGACATTAATAGCAGCAACAGCCAAAGCCTCGAAACACAATGTCCATCGCAAATGCGGAGAGCAATGAAATCAAAACGAACACAGCTGTTTGTTTGTTTGTTTTTTAAACCAGCTAAGTGCGCGCTACAGCTCAACCAAGTGGCTTCATACTGTGTAGGAACCTCCTGGTTACTACACCAGCAACAGCCCAGAGGGGATTATTGTTGTGTCCGTCCGTCCGTCATGCATCCAGAAATGGGAGTGGGTGGGGCTGGGTGGGGAGGGGCTGGGTGGGGAGGGGCTGGGTGGGGAGGGGCTGGGTGGGGAGGGGCTGGTCACCCCGTGGTGCCCCCCTTATAAAACTCAACGTTTCACCTACTCACGCCGGCTTGTGCACGCCCTCACAGTCGGGCATATTGTTGCGGAACACACCACGTGGTGGTGGTGCCTCCGTTGTTGTTGACACTGCCCATTGACCGGGCCAACCCGACGTTCCTACCAGCTCCCCTCCGCAGGAGAATGTGTTATCATCGTCATCGGGTGTAAATGTAGAGCGGCAGACATGAAAAAAAAATTACTCTGAACTCGTGGTGATGTTGATTCTGAATTTGGACAGGGAACAAAAAAGAACCCGGAGGGTTACAACAGAGAAAAATCCACGCGACCACTGGGAGAGAGAGGTGGGGGAGAGACACGCAAACTCCAAATATACAGCAGCAGCAGCAGGCATCGTCAGGTTCGGGATCGAACCCACGACCTCCTGTACACCAGGCGAGGTAGTTAACATCTCATAGCCACCAGGTCCCATCTGACGGATCCGCGGGACCATAGCAGAACCTGACTGCCGCAATCCCGTCAGATGACTGGATCGTTACCACCCCCACCACCACCATCCTCACCACCACCACCACCACCACTCCCACCACCACCATCCTCACCACCACCACCACCACCCCCACCACCACCACTACCACCATCCTCACCACTACCACCATCCTCACCATCACTACGACCACCCCCACCACCACCACGACCACCCGCTCCCTCCCTCCATCCCCTCCTTCCCTCCCCTCCATCCTTCCGTCATTCCTTCACTCCATTCCTGCATCCCTCCCTGCCTCCATCCATCCATCGATGACTCCATCCACCCATCACTCCCTCCGTCCATCCATCAATCCCTCCTCCCTGCCTCCATCCCTGACTCCATCAACCCATCAATCCCTCCTCCCTGCCTCCATCCCTGACTCCACCCACCACTCCCTCCGTCCATCCATCAATCCCTCCTCCCCGCCTCCATCCCTGACTCCATCCACCACTCCCTCCGTCCATCCATCAATCCTTCCTCCCTGCCTCCATCCCTGAATCCATCCATCACTCCCTCCGTCCATCCATCAATCCCTCCTCCCTGCCTCCATCCCTGTATCCATCCATCATTCCCTCCGTCCGTCCATCCATCAATCCCTCCTCCCCGCCTCCATCCCTGAATCCATCCACCACTCCCTCCGTCCATCCATCATCCCTTCCTCCCTGCCTCCATCCCTGAATCCATCCATCACTCCCTCCGTCCATCCATCAATCCCTCCTCCCTGCCTCCATCCCTGACTCCATCCACCACTCCCTCCGTCCATCCATCAATCCCTCCTCCCTGCCTCCATCCCTGAATCCATCCATCACGCCCTCCGTCCATCCATCAATCCCTCCTCCCCGCCTCCATCCCTGAATCCATCCACCACTCCCTCCGTCCATCCATCAATCCCTCCTCCCCGCCTCCATCCCTGACTCCATCCACCACTCCCTCCATCCATCCATCAATCCTTCCTCCCTGCCTCCATCCCTGAATCCATCCATCACTCCCTCCGTCCATCCATCAATCCCTCCTCCCTGCCTCCATCCCTGAATCCATCCATCACTCCCTCCGTCCATCCATCAATCCCTCCTCCCCGCCTCCATCCCTGACTCCATCCACCACTCCCTCCCGACTTCCATGCCTCCATCCCAGCCTGCGAGGCCGACGAAGCTGATCGCCACTTTTTGTTCGCCGGCTGGAGGGTTGGGAGTCATCAGCGGTTGTTCTATGGATACACCCGGTCCCCTGCCATAGGACCGTGGAATTTCCACCACCGGCCCAGTGGCCTTAACAGCTGATGAGTGGTACCAAGCGCCTCGTTGTAGAACATGAATTTAAGTTTTCTATTCGTGTCGAGGACAAGTGGATGGGACGCGGTTGCGATGGGGGTTGCCATGGCGATGGTGGTTGCCATGGCGATGGCCGTTGCCACGGCGACCGTGAATGCCTTGGCGACGGTTGCTGGTTTTACCGCGGCCATGGTCGCGATAATGGTTTGCTATGGCGATGGTCGTTGCCATGGTGATGGGCTCGGTGTGTCATTCAATGCCTCGCTATGGTGCAGCCAAAGACAAAGATAACCCTTGTAGCCTTAGCAGACTGTAGGGGCAAGTGCTGTTAGCGAGCAGGCGGTGGGTGGCCAGCACCACGCCCGACCGCCTTTGTCTCTCCAGTGGCGATGTTTACTAACACACCGCACCAAGTACTCATTTGAGGCTGAGTCGACCTAGGGGAGGCCCAGGACCGGTTCAGATAATCGTCACTGGTGTTGGCCGTGAGCAGGAATCGAACTCGTGTGGACGGGTTCGTAGCGCAGCGTTGCGTTAACTGCTATACACACACACACCTACACACACACACGTACACACACACACACACGTACACACACGCATACACACACACACACACGTACACACACACACATACACACACACACATACACACACACACACATACACACACACACATACACACACGTAAACACACGTACACACACACTCACACACGATCACACACGATCACACACATGCACGCACACACTCAAACGCACACACTCACACGCACACACTCACACGCACACACTCACACGCACACACTCACACGCACACGCACACACGCACACACTCACACGCACACACGCACACACTCACACGCACACACACACGCACACACACGCTCACGCACACATACACACACGCACACACGCACACATACACACACGCACACACGCACACACGCACACACGCACACACATACACACACGCACACACGCATACACACGCACACACGCATACACACGCACACACGCATACACACGCATACACGCATACACACGCACACACGCATACACACGCATACACACGCACACACACGCATACACGCGCACACACGCATACACACGCGCACACACGCATACACACGCACACACGCACACACGCACACACACGCACACACGCACACACACGCACACACGCACACACACGCGCACACGCGCACACACGCATACACACGCGCACACACGCACACACGCACACACGCGCACACGCGCACACACGCATACACGCGCACACACACATACACACGCACACACACAAAGATCCCCCATATAGCCTTAACAGACTGTAAGGACAAGTGCTGTTAGCGAGCACCTTTGAAGGCCGGAACGGTACACAAGGGGGTGGGTGGCCAGCACCACGCCCGACCGCCTTTGTCTCCCTAGTGGCAATGTTTACACACCGCACCAGGTACTCATTTTAGGCTGAGTCGACCTAGGGGAGGCCCGGGACCGGTTCAGATTATCGTCACTGGTGTTGGCCGTGAGCGGGAATCGAACCCGGGTCGCCAGGTTCATAGCGCAGCGCGCTAACCGCTACACTACCGCACACACACACACACGCACACACACACACGCACACACACACGCACACACACGCACACACACACACATACACACACGCACATACACACACATACACACACACACACGCACACACATACACACACGCACATACACACACATACACACACACATACACACACGCACACACACATACACACATGTACATACACACACATACACACATACATACACACATACATACATACACACATACACACATACACACACATATACACACACATACACACACATACACACACACACATACACACATACACACACGCACACACACACATACACACACATACACACACATACACACACACATACACACATACACATACATACACGCACACACATACACACACATACATACACACACGCACATACACACACATACACACACACCACACATCACACACATACACACACATGCACACACACATACATACACACACACGCGATAACAATTTTTTTTACTTCAAATCGCACCACGACTTCATTAAAGCGAGCGGTCCAGAGTGCGTCGTTCTGATGTTACTCGTTTGAAGCCTTCGTTTATTTAACTTCCACGAGCGAATCTTAATTTCACGCTAATAATTTAGTTCAATTTAATCGCGCGAAGGTATAAAAAATGAATTTCCCTCCATCGCACGCTGTCTAACCATCCGTTGATTCCACTCGAAGCGAAACATTAACAATGCCATTCGCCGACACCTCGTGGACACACTCGGTGTCTCTCTCTCTCCCCTCGTGGAGATGTTGACTACCTCGCCTGGTATACAGGAGGTCGTGGGTTCGATCCCGACCCTGACGACGCCTGCTGCTGTAGATTTGGAGTTTGCGTGTATCTCTCGCATCATCATAATCGCTGTGTGTGTCTCTGTGTGTGTCACTGTGTGTGTGTGTCACTGTGTGTGTCTCTGTGTGTCACTGTGTGTGTCACTGCGTGTGCCTCTGTGTGTGTGTCTCTGTGTGTGTCTCTGTGTGTGTCACTGTGTGTGTCACTGTGTGTGCCTCTGTGTGTGTGTCTCTGTGTGTCTCTCTGTGTGTGTCACTGTGTGTGTCTCTGTGTGTGTCACTGTGTGTGTCTCTGTGTGTGTCTCTCTGTGTGTCACTGTGTGTCTCTCTGTGTGTGTCTCTCTGTGTGTGTCACTGTGTGTGCCTCTGTGTGTGTCTCTGTGTGTGTCACTGTGTGTGTGTCACTGTGTATGTCACTGTGTGTCTCTCTGTGTGTGTCACTGTGTGTGTCTCTGTGTGTGTCACTGTGTGTCTCTCTGTGTGTGTCTCTCTGTGTGTGTCACTGTGTGTGCCTCTGTGTGTGTGTCTCTGTGTGTGTCTCTGTGTGTGTCACTGTGTGTGTCACTGTGTGTGTGTCTCTGTGTGTGTCACTGTGTGTGTCACTGTGTGTCTCTCTGTGTGTGTCTCTGTGTGTGTGTCTGTGTGTGTCACTGTGTGTGTCACTGTGTGTGCCTTTGTGTGTGTGTCTCTGTGTGTGTCTCTGTGTGTGTCACTGTGTGTGTCACTGTGTGCGTGTCTCTGTGTGTGTCACTGTGTGTGTCACTGTGTGTGTCACTGTGTGTCTCTCTGTGTGTCTCTCTGTGTGTCTCTGTGTGTGTCACTGTGTGTGTCACTGTGTGTGTCTCTGTGTGTGTCTCTGTGTGTGTCTCTGTGTGTGTCACTGTGTGTCTCTCTGTGTGTGTCTCTGTGTGTGTCACTGTGTGTCTCTCTGTGTGTGTCTCTGTGTGTGTCACTGTGTGTCACTGTGTGTGTCACTGTGTGTCTCTCTGTGTGTGTCACTGTGTGTGTCTCTGTGTGTGTCACTGTGTGTCTCTCTGTGTGTGTCTCTCTGTGTGTATCACTGTGTGTGCCTCTGTGTGTGTGTCTCTGTGTGTGTCTCTGTGTGTGTCACTGTGTGTGTCACTGTGTGTGTCTCTGTGTGTGTCACTGTGTGTGTCACTGTGTGTCTCTCTGTGTGTTTCACTGTGTGTGTCTCTGTGTGTGTCACTGTGTGTCACTGTGTGTGTCACTGTGTTTGTCTCTGTGTGTGTGTCTCCGTGTGTGTCTCTGTGTGTGTCACTGTGTGTGTTTCTGTGTGTGTGTGACTGTGTGTGTGACTGTGTGTGTCACTGTGTGTGTGACTGTGTGTGTCACTGTGTGTCTCTGTGTGTCTCTCTGTGTGTGTCACTGTGTGTGCCTCTGTGTGTGTGTCTCTGTGTGTGTCTCTGTGTGTGTCTCTGTGTGTGTCACTGATCACAGGAATCACGGTGTGTGTGTGTGTGTGGGTTGGCCGTGAGCTGTGTCGACCGCTTCTTCCTCGTCCCTTCTCGGGGGGAGGGTGGGATGTGGGGGGGATGGGGGGGGGATGATGCGAATCTAACTCGAAATGCGTTCCATTAAATAAAAACATCCCACGTGACATTCCATCTAGAGTTTTCCCTTCGCATGAAGCCCCCCCTCCTCCACCCCTCACCCATTCCTCCCTCCCTCCCTCCCCCCTCCCTCCACTCCCTCCCTCCCCCTCCCCGCCCCCCTCCCCTCCCTCCCTCCCTCCACTCCACTCCACTCCCTCCCTCCCCCTCCCTCCCTCCCTCCCTCCCTCCCCTCCCTCCCTCCCTCCACTCCCTCCCTCCCTCCCTCCCCTCCCTCCACTCCCTCCCCCCCTCCCTCCACTCCCTCCCTCCACTCCCTCCCCCTCCCCTCCCTCCCTCCACTCCCTCCCTCCCCCCTCCCTCCCTCCACTCCCTCCCCCTCCCCCTCCCTCACTCCACTCCCTCCCTCCCCTCCCTCCACTCCA